CAAAGACAAAACTTTCTGCTGCATAAACTTCATGATGTTTTGTTAATAGCATGTTTCAAATACAATTTGTGCTAATGCTTATTTAAAGAGTGATGCCACAGAATGATTCCTGCCGAACGCTTGTCATATATGGATTTTTCTAGTAAGTATAACTGAGAATTGGTCACTTTTCATCGATCTATAGTTGTCGACTTTTACTAGTTTATTAATTAAATCTTTCATGCAACAGGCAGGTATGTCAAGTATTCATACGATGTATCAAGAAAAAAGTTCATTTTATATTGCCTATTGGCATTGCAGTGATAGCGAAAAATGTATATGCCTCTTTCAAACATTTCCTTTTGGTAGTTCCTGTTCTGCCATGACACTTTCATCATCGACAACATAATGCAACTAAGATGCACTTATTTCTACACCTTTGAGGTGGAGAATGAGAGCGTAGCAATAATGTAGAGTTGAGAAGTAGTATTCTTTTGGTTCTTTTTATCTTAAGTAGATGCATGAAGGAGTGAATGATTTTTCCTACTCTCTTACTTAGTTCCGCAAACAGTAGTAATTAGCGTAGAATAAGTTTATGTTTCATTATATGAATTAGGAAAAATACCCTCCGTACCAACTAAGTAGAATCAACCTGTTTAACACCCTACTGCATAAAAGAACTATTTCAGCCGAAGTCTTTAATATACAGCTGGCAGAACGCGACTAATTCTAGCTAGAGCAACTAACAGAAAACACCACGCTCACATGGGCTATCTGTGCATGTAGAACTTGCTAAGTTAATAAGTTTTTTCTGCTTTATTAAAAAAATTTAGGCATTCTTTTACTTTGCAAGTTGCTTTTAGTCGATAACTTATTTCTCCGCCGCGATAAGAACTTGTTTTCGCAACCCATAACGTTACTATGTTTTACTCACCTTCATTCCGCAGCCCACCTTGCCGCTTAGAGTGACAGAATGCAATACTTAGCGTTCACCCCCAATTATGAGAAACAGATTTAGAAATACCTATTTAATTTGAGGTTATATTTTTCAGTTTTTTTCAAGTAGCGAAGAAGAAAAGACACTTAGAAAAGGGAAGTGGGCTTTATTTTTACGCCCATTTTACTTCCTTGTTTTCTTTCTTTTCATACTCGTAATTAAGTGACAAAGAAATAAAAGGATTTTTTACAACATGATTGGATACGTAGCACCCTTACGATATTTTATTCTAAATTACGTACAAGATAGCATCAAAACTGCGTTGTAAAGTGAGTTTGCCCCGTAATTTCGCTTGTTCCGATATTGCGGCTCAACGCTGTTACATCACTTTATGTGCACTGTGATACCCTTGGGGAGGAAACGGGGAAACTACAGATTTTTGGCTTAATTAATGTAAGAAAAATAGCTGCGTAGTAAAAAGGTAATTTTGATAACGGTAAAATAATTATAGCAATATAAAGCATTAAAATATGAATTAAAACATAAAAACAATATAAAACATTAATTAAGAATAGGTGTTTCTCTCAGTTGCGATACCACTGTTACAGTCCATATTAGTTATCCTTTACGTAGATTGGTGATCTTCTATTGAAACAATAGAATATAGAGCAGAACTGTATCTCTCCCTAATATATTCAGCAGTCTTGCCGAGTAAATCTGAAGACATAGGAACGATGGATTCCAAATGAATCTTCCTCGCAAAATTCTCTTTCACCTCAATTTCACTTTCACAATTTTTGAGTACGATGGTTTCTCGATATTTCCACCTTTCTCTTTGCTTTTTCATAACTGGTTAACATGGTTAAGTCTGATATGTAGGTGTCACTAGCCACTATGGAGAATATGTTAAGCATTTTCCTGGTTTCAGTAGTAGAAGATCTAAAGAATTATCATCATCTTCTTCGGAAGGTAACCATGAATTCTCACAGTATTTGTGCGTCCAGCAACACAGAATCTACCGCTTTACGTAGAAATAATCTGCATGGCACAATGTCTAAATGTCGAATGGCACACTGCACATAACTCTATTCCGGGGAGCATTATATACAGCAAGAAATGGAAAGGTCTGTCCTGCCCTATTACGATTATAGTTCAAAATAACAAAGAATGATCTCAATCATTTCTCAAGCAAATGTCTAGCGTTCATCAACACATGCAAATTCTGATTTTTCAAAGCTTCATTTAATTCAAATATTTAAACAGACTGGAGTTAAAATAAAAAAAATAAAGCAAAAAGTAGCAGATGCTCCATTTTTACAGTGAAACCGCTTATAACTCCAAATGAAAGTAGGTACTACTCCAGCAGGCAGGCTCGAGATAAATTATGATATACTGCGTATAAGCATTCCTTAAGTTGTCGGTGTTACCCTCAAAACTATCTTTATATAAATTTCAGTTTCTGAACAGTTATTTTTTGAATAGATGTTTGTAGGTTATAGCCTATCAATAAATCAACAACGAGTGAGTGCATCAGCCTTTCAGCAGTGATCAGGCTAGAAGCGTTGCTCATAACCGCAAAAATATTGTTCACACGGTCACGTTTTGTAAGACTACTGAGTGACTTAATTTTTTTTAGTTACATACGACTTACTTGCACAACTTACTAGAAACAGCGTATTTGTTGTCTGATAACTACCAGGAGAGGGCTTTACAAATATACTAAAATTATATCAATGAAGAATTGTAGAATTTGGATGGATAGTTTTAGAAAAACTACAATTTTTCAATACCATGAAATTTAGCCTTTGAATAATTGTAGCATTTGCACTTTAAATTCCAATTTCTACGTCTCTTTAAATGTTTTTCTGTTTCTAATTCGCGAAAATTAAGCAAAGGAAAATAATTTATATATTGTTTCTTTTCCGTAGTATTATGCTATTGGAGGGCTGTATCATTGACCATTTGATGCTTATATTTGCTGCGGCTACACTACTTATTTCTACTTTGCCGCTCACTACAGCTCCTAGTAGTGTCAGTTAAGCGCATTGTAAATAGTGGTATTTCCTCAACTGCTAGCTTTGAAGCATTTTTGCATTAAGCATTTTTCTTTTCGTAGATGCAGTTATACCTGTAAAGGATGCTAGCTAATGCAAGCAGCCATATAAAATCAGGCAAGCAAAAACAAACATTACCCAATAGTTGACACCGACAGATTAAAGTGGACAAGTACAAATGTGCACTTTTGCGTGCAAAATTTGCAGTATCACTGACGGTGTAAACGAGCTAAAGCTCATTTGGCCGATCGAGTTCGATCCCGGCCGGAATAGTGAAATAGAGAATAGGATATTGTAGATGGAGTAGGCAGTAACTACTTAGCGCTTGCATTTTAATATCCTAAATTAGTTGGGATGAGAAGAATTCCTACTTTATGATCGAATCCTACTTGCACTCTCGAAACATTAGACTCTCGTAACCCCCCTCCTTCGCTTGTAGGACTGGACTGTAAAATGAAACCTATTTAGTGCGGATGAGCTAAGTACATTTAGTGCAAGGTAATTTTAATTAGCTATTCCAAAGGGTAGCTTATTATCTACTACGAAGAATAAGTTCACTACTTTATTCCAACAAACAAAAAAACCTCACACCTAAGGATAGGAAAATATCAATAATAGAAAAAAAAGAAAGAATAGAACTAACTATACATTAAGAAAAATATATCCCACATCGTAATCGTTCGTCTGTATTATTGCCCCCCACATCTAAGACTCGTCCTACTTCTAACAATTTTGTCGAAAAGTGCTAGGGAAAATAATTGGCGCAAATCGTATGTCAATTATATCCGCATGCATTCAAATACAAGTCGATATAAGATTCACTCAGCACATACTTATACAAACAAAAGTATTACTAGTTCGGGTAGTTGGATTAATTGATCCCTTATTAACTGCCATGTAATTTGTATTACATATTACAAGGCACAATTGGAAAAAAGTAATCAAGTTCCCTACTTTCCGCTAGGTCGAATAAGCACTATTCTCCGTAATGAATAAAATGAGTGAGACCTTTATCATTAGCACATAGGAAGGCAAATGGTTTCACAAGCACGGGTGCCCGAGTGGTTAAGGGGGCAGACTTAAGATCTGCTGGTCTGGTGACCGCGTGGGTTCGAACCCCACCCCGTGCATACTTCTTAATATTGTGCCCTTACGATTTTTTCAGTGAAAAATTATTATCATGTCAAATAAAAATTGTACATTTCAACAGTTATAATAATGCTAAGTTTCAAGCATGATTGCTTGGTAATTGAAAAAGCATCGTAGGCAACTCCCTATAGCTATTTCGGTTACAATACTACTGGTGGCTGTATTATCTTTATTTCTGCAAAATGTTATTCACAGCTTACCTCGAAAATCCAGAATTCTTATTTCTGTACTTGTGGTCAAAGTAGAGCTCAATTCCTTTTGATAGACACTGTCGCCATCGCAAGAAGGTTGTGAGTGCTTTTATGCAGGCCAGGTTCTACCAGAGATGCTACTTACTAACTTATTTGCGTTTTGGGGGAATGCAAACCTTTCTTCATAATAATGTAACTGTAAAAGGCATTCTTTCGTTTATTTAGAAACTCTGCCTATCTTATGCGTGGAATTCTCCGTAATTTCCTTTCGCAATACATGCAATACCGTTACAGCGTAGCCGCGTAGAAGGGACAAGTGGACTCATTTTTTTTATACATTTTTATGTACTTCTGGAATTGAACATGTAGGGAATGCGAGTTTATTGACTATGAGTTATATCCAGCTTATTCTCGAATTTTTGATTACAACATATCCGCCAGATGAATCTCCGCCCCATGACCCTCAGCGATTTGCTGAGGTTTAACACCGTCAATCTGGATATTTACACAGAAACATACTCTATAGCCATGTACCTAAACTACTTGATCCGTTGGCCTAATTTGTGCCTTTCTGCTGAAGCTCCTGATACAACGTTTGGGGGATATGTAATTGGTAAGAACGAAATTGCTTTTGCTATGAACCCCTTAACGTAAAACTGTTTCAACAAGTAAATAGCAAATGTTTTCTTATGATAGAGGAGACTAATTGCATCATGCCTGTCATTGTACATGACGTGGTGTTGAACCTTCGTGCTCTGAAAGCAATGCTATTTGTCTATGGCTTGTAACGCCTCGGGCATCATCATTCACGTATCTAAAATTTTCTCGGAGAAATGATGGCGAGTGGAGAGATAATCTTTCTAATGGACCTTTGTCATAAAAGAACTGTGGGCATTATTTTAGAAGTAGCAGTACTTAGTTGAGAATTCTTCAATGGTTGGTTGTGCCTTGCTTTACTTTGTAACACAGAATTCATTGATTATGAACTTCTTTTTTTGAGCGTGCTTCCTGCCAGTTTGTGCTGGATTTTTTTCATGTTGAAGAGCCGTTGTTACTTTACTTAGTATGAAGTTCCTTCAACTGATTAGAGGCATAGGGCTGTAAATGCGCCGAAGAAACATCCTTCAAAACACTTTAAGATGATCCCATTGAACATGATAATCGATGCTGATGAGTTTACAGCGCCAAATGATTATTTGGTTGTCCTATTGAAACGTGGAATATAGGAGATGCTTTCATGCTAGATTGTGAAATTAAGAATATTGAATTGGAATGATATTCGATTATCATTCCTATTCAACATTATCTGTACTCTATATAAAATGGAGTTTCTTTATAAATCCACTGTTTCATTTTTGCTTGTGCGAGTTTATTTATTTGTCTAGATACGGTTTAAATTAGTAAAATATTAACTTATAATTTATCTTATTTGATAATTTTATCCTGGGTTTTTGAGCCTTTGATTTTTTTATACAAGTAATGCACCGTGGAACAAAGAACTCTTCACACCACGGAAAAATCTGGAACGCATTTCTGAGAAATAAGAAAGGCTGACGTGTTATACGAAAGCGTATTTGCTAGCTAGAAACAGTTCACTATCTCTGCCTATTCATTTGTAACGCAGTCGTGAATGCCATTTCCATGAGTATTTGTGCAGGCAAAGTCGAGGGTGAAGGAGTTGATTGGCACGGTCATGTAACTGCACTATCAGTAGCACCGCAATACCGTAGCACTGGTATAGCCGGACAACTCATGCATGCTTTGGAAACGACATGTGAAGAGACACTTGGTTGTTTTTTTGTGGATTTATTTGTAAGGGAATCAAATGTAGCTGCCTTAAAGTTTTATAAGCGCTTGGGATATGATATTTGGCGGACGTTAAAACGATACTATGTGGACGGAGAAAGCGCATATGAGATGAGAAAGCCGTTGTTAACTAAACTTGCAACTATAAACTTGAAAAGTTTAAAACATGAGGAAAATCGACAAATCGATGGAGCTGAAACTGTCAATTTTTCCGTAGGCGCAGCAAATAGTTTACCTTCAAAAGATGACGCCTCAAATGAACAATCTTTAGTAGCCTCAGGAAGCATCCCCAAAACGAACAAAAAGAAAAAACGCAAGCCGAAGAAATGACCGTTTTCAAGTAATTTCGTTATTTTTAGATTAGTATAGCTGTTAATAATTCGGGATTACTTTTATCATTTTGGTAAATTCAAGCATCACTCGTTTATTTTTCTATCTTGCTGGTCTGCGGTAACTGCACTATCCATATACAACTTGAGTGCATGCTACTTTTTATTTGTTTTTTGGTTGAAAAATCATATCAAAAGTATAGTTTCAAGACAAATTTCCTCCTGCCTTATCCTAATTTTTGATGAGAGGGCAACTACAATTTTTCACCAGGATTTTTAAAGAAATTTGTAAGAATTTTGAAGAGAATGGTTAAATAGTTTTTTGTAAAAATAGTGCCACAGTCTCTATTCACGCAAATGGGAAAGGATCGGCTAAACATCTGAAAGTTTGCGTACAGGAAACTACAAATGCTTAGTAAGACTCTGTGGTATATGTGCTACATTCAAATATTGATTAAGAGGGTTCTTAATCTTGCCTAAAGTTACAACGAATGCAACTTCAATATATATTTGTTCATTGCGTATGTATTTCCAAAATTTAATTCAACTGCGAAATTATAAGCTTCCAGATTATTTACATAGATTAATTTACAAGTTGAACCAAGAAAAAGCTTAAATACTTTCAAACTTGGATACTAAATATGCCGTGATCCCAAGTGCATTTGTTGATAGCAAGGGTTGTAACTCAATGTATGTGGTGTCAATCCTTTCGCTAAATGGGAATGATTTAGGGCGCTGAATATTACCATTTTGCTGCGGCTTCAACTTTGTGTCTTATAAATGCATAAATTCTTTCGCTCACGCAACGCCGTAGTTTCAAAACGCAAAAGAAAAGTACAAGATATTACTTTTTTGGAAGCTCGAAGAAATTTATTCAACTTAGTCCCAACACTTTTGACATTCAATTTCTAGAGTTAGTTAACAAGCTAACTGCCATATACAAGTCCACGGCATTCAAAAATTCCTGCCCATACTAAATTGGTCCATCGCAAAAAGTGAATAGATTTCCTTAAATGCGGATGGCAGATAGAAGTGGAAGAAGTAGATTTTGTTGCCCCCTTCCAGGTTTCGTTCAGATATAATAAAGCGGTGTTTTAATGGTACACTGAGTTTTACAATGACATAAATGTCATAATTATCGTAAGTCCTAGATTGCTCAAAGCTTCTTGAAGATATCAAAAACCTATACAAATTGAATAGAACATATCAAATTTGACTTTTAGAAGGAAATAAAAATTTTGTTCACATTTCCTAAGTTCATTCTGTAATCACCCAAAGGATACTCTTTCCTCTGTATCCGGTGAACAAACAAACCTGCTCAAACGATAGAAAATAAAAGAATGAGAAGGAAGAATTACGCCATAACTTACACTTGGGAGGAGCTTAAAGAAAACTTACAATATCTAAACAGAAATAAGTTGACTGAAATGCTTACTGACAAAAGTAGAGAAAACATGAATAGCATATAACTGTATTCAAGCAAGCTGCGAAAGGGGTGAGTCATGAAAAGCTGTGTCTATCGAACTATTCAGTAATGAAAGTACGTGCCTCTTTTCTTTTACTAACATTCATAGCATGGCTGTAGTACTTATTATTAATAATCCAGCTGTTTCAAACCTTTTGGCGACGTTGCTGTGCATCATCCAAGTGCAACTCGAGAAAATCAACAAATTTCCATAAATCAAAGTTGTATGGGATCTGCAAACATACCCAAAAATTCAATTTCGCTCCTCATACTTGATTGTATTGACAAGATGAAAAAAAAATGTGTATTGCTGCAGGGAATAAAGGGATCAAAAATGCTACACATTCATCAGCAGACATTCCCTTAACATTCGTTTTTTTCAACTCGTAGGCAAAATTTTCTTTCTAAGAGGAACTGATACTCACTCGAAAATTCACGTAGTTCTTTCAGTTATGCAAGTTACTTAAATTTGACAAAAAAAATACAAATCGCGAAAATTAATAGCGAACCCGAATAAAACCATTTTCAGGTGATACTTCAAAAGCATCTTCGGTTATGATAATAACAGGGATAGGGGGGGAAGATTCTCGTAATATTTTCCACACATTTTCGATTAGCCATACATCAGATTCATTTTTCAAATGTTCCCCATGAATTCTCTTCGATGCTTCCTGCAGGAAAAGATTTTATATGCGATTTTCTTGTTACGTGAAAAGATAGACGGTGCTTCAAAATCGCAATTACATTCTGAGGAATGCATTAGGTCTGATACTTTTTCAGACAAAAAATGAAAGATCCTAAACCGTTGCAAAAATCATACCCTAGAAGCCGTAGCTTAGAGTTATTGCAGAGTAGTAGTCATATAAAATTGCATTCCCATCTTTCTTTGATGGTTTCATAAACATATCATCCACAGGTTACAAGTGAAGTGCACACAAAATAATTAAAAGCTCTGATGAGATAATGCGGACTAATTATCAAAAATAATTTTCCTAAAAAATTAACCGTCTATTGCCTCTTATTTAATTACCCATAATTGCCAATATTATTTGAAACGATTTCGCTATAAGAAAGCAGCTCTTTTAGATAAAACTAGGTTTCAAAAGCGCAGATGATAGATATCAAAAACGTGAAGGCACGCAATAAACTCTATACAAATGCGTTATATCTTAACCTTGCGCTGTTCTTCC